ATAAAGCACGAGTGTTACAATTTAATATTTGCAAAAGCAAGCAAAATTTTCACCCAAAAATGTTTCCATAATCTCGTAATTGTTTCTAATTTTGAAACTCTGTCAGGCAGAAATAATCCGATGAAATGTACACAATTTTACTTTTCTGTTGAAAATGCTTCAAAATCCTTATGTTTTATCTATAACGTACGCGTTAATCCCATTACACGCTATTTTCTCGTCCCTAGGGTTTGAAACAACACATTGTAAGATGTGACACTAAATATTTAAATTTGTAGGTGGTAAAATTGCATGCAACCGGTTCAAACCAATACACAAACTTCGAAGTATTTATTAACATGGGATGAATAAAAATTTTTGAAACATCAAAAATTTACATACATCGTTTGACAAAAAATGGACAGACAAAAACAAACTATTGACTGTTTTCGTGTAATATCAAGAAGCTCAAAATTAACTATTCTGAAGAATTTACTATCCCTATTCGAGTTCATTACGCAGTATCAACTTTACTTAAATTGCGGTTTTTATATCAAAGTTTCCGAAAATGGCGGCTTGCCCCATAAAGTGTCGAATTCATACTCGAGTTCAGGGTGTCAACATGCACTTACGATCCCACACGCTGAATGCTATGAAAGAAAGTTCCATATGAAACTAAAAAAAATCTTCAAATCAACCGGAATCATGAAGATATATTGAAAATTTGTGTGTGAAAAAGCCCCTATCAGTCGTACTTAACTTAAACACAGTAAAACTTGATAATTTGAGTTAATAGTTTGATAAATTACTTGATATTCATATAAACTTTCCGTGTGTTTTCCACTTAGGTCACGCGTTATTGTAAAACAAGTACTCATATATCGTGTTTTATTCCGAAGCAATGAAATTTCGAAATAATTCAAAATAGAAACATTTTTGATATTATTTATGAAGAAATGTGTGCTGTTCGAATGTATACAAAATTTAATTGTTGTTTGCACAACGCTGCTTAGATTTATAGCAAAAAAATGGTTTGAAAAATTATTAATTATTTTGAAAGTTCATTTATTATAAACAATGTGATGAAATTTAAATTTGGATTTCACAGACAATTGTTCAACCAAGTTCTTTTAAGCACGTATAAACATATTTAATCTATTCAAGAACACTAAAATATATATATAATGAGTCGTGGTAATATCAAAAATAAAGTTTGTATAACGAATTAATCATATTAACTCGAGTGTCTATCAATCACTATGATTTGAGGCTTATGGAATAAAGCAGATTACACAATACGTAGCCTATTCATCTGAGCTCATTAAAACCAAGCATATCCGGAATACGAATAAATTAGATTAAATAATTTGGATTTCAGAAAAAGAATCTAAAAAAATAGAATTTAGATATACATGAAAATATCTTTATATGTACTGGAGTTTCGATTTATGTGTGTTAATAGGGTGGATATTATTTATTTCAAGCAATTTTGAGGAAAAGGCACAACAAGCGCTTGATACAAACACTTTACTTATATCGCGGGATGTCCTATTTGCAACAAGTTAAGTTGAACAGTTTGTTGTTATTGATATTTGATTAAAGGGTGACATTTACTAAAAACGACAAAATGTTATTACCGTATATGGGAAAATCTAAGCCCAATGAAAATCAAACTGAACTATAGGATGCCGACGATTAATCAAACGATACTAAAGCAGAAATATCGGGTCATGTGTGTTTGGCAAACTTTTACGTCAAAATCGGGTGTATTTATATCCATGTATAACTTGCTTGAATTAAAAAATATATGACGTTACGCGGAATAAGGCTTACAATATTGCATTCGTTAATGATTCATTTTTCATATTAAAAGCACTTAGTTATATTATGTTTACATTATATCTAATGAAACAAATATGATGACTGTCGGGCATGTTAGCAAAAAAAATTGTTGGGTATTATGAATGACTTTTGAACTCCGTTGTAAGTAATTATATGAACCTAAGTATCAATTTATTAGATAATTTAGTTAGATAACATTACTTCTGTAGCAGATATAAAATAACACTAATTTTAAAGACATTTATTCAATCGTATCTACCTAAATTCTAAACAAATATACAGCACCTAGAACCCGATAAGCTACATATTAATTTTGTTAACTCGTTATCTTAGTTATTAGTTGTACAATAAATTAGCTTTAGATTTTAATGAAACTTCTAAAATCATTTTTGTAAAACCACAACACAAATTCTTTATAAAAATGCGGCAATCGTGAATGTTATTTTCCCATTCCTCAAACGGTAATCAAACTTAATTTATAAAAACGTGAAAGTAAATCCCTAATGGAATGTCAATGTTTTTATTTATAAAAGGTTATATTTTAGGAAATAAATTTTCAGTTTATCAATGAAAATATAGAATAATAATAAATCTTCCTTGCTTGTATGAAGCGAAATTTTAATGACAGAAGCTGTTGTCCTGCCATCTAAAACTGAATAAAATGAATTCCTATATATCCTGTGTCAATGGAATGAGACTACCAAAATTGTTGGTTAACTAATCTATTTTTTGTTTTCGTTAGACCACAAAGTCGCTCAACGTTAATGCTAGTTTAACTATCCACCCCTGTCAAAAGAAACAAAAGTTTGTTTGCATTTCAAGATATTTCAGGATTGTAAGATTATTGGTAGATTGACGTCTCTAAAAATAATCAGATATAAATTCTAATTGAGTAAGATTCATCATATACAATCTCATCGCGGTTCATTTGATTCATTGTTTCCGTTTTGTAACTTTCTTTGCTCGTGATATAAATATAAATCTGTAATATATCTTTCACAAAAAAAATTTAAACGTTTGAATCATGCAAAAAACTGATAAACTGAATTTTGAGGGCAACAGATCACACAACGAGAAAGTAATTTCACTTAATCTCCTGATCAAAACAATGTTAAGTCCCGATTTTGATACCTATTGTAATGAAGTGACACGCGTCACAAATAAACAATAGGATGAGCCAGCATTAGAATCCAGGCGCCTCTCATCCAAGCACGATTGAGAACCTAGCTAATCTATGGATAACATTGCTTATCCTTGAATTAGACCACACATGTTACTATAAAAAAATTTGTGACAAGTTTTGTGTTTTTGTGATGTGTCTTGTCAACCTGGTACCGTATCATTTACACAAAGAGTGTATAGTCACAGATCATTTTGAGACGATAATATCTGCCTATATTGGCACAATGTTAAATAGTCATGTGTATTTATATAGAGTAAACCGTGTGACGTGTGCAGATTAGATGATCCCAATAGGATAACGTGCCCAACCAATTTTGCTAAGAAAATGCATATACCGCCAACGCATATACATATACAACCAACCAAATGTACATATACAGCCAACTTAATATACAAAAACTTTATCTAGTTAAGGAGTTATATATACGAAGATGTCATTGCAGTATCGAAATAAAATAACTTAGACAATGTTTATATTTTTATGAGTTAATGAGGCCGAATATATGGTTGTATTCAAAATAATGCAACCTCAAATATATACTTAAATTGAAAATCAGGATATGTATTTTTACGAAGTACCTATATCACGTCAGGAATGCTGATCATATTTAAGTTTGTTTATAGTTAATTTAAGATTTGAAAGGAGTTGAATGAACACTGAGTTAGTTTTGCACATCATTATGAAAAGAGAGATTTGGTAGCTTTATTATATATAAGTCACCAAATGCATAAATAGAAATAATTAAAATGTTTCCATAAAATGATTGAGGAAATTGACTCTTTCATTTTGTCGTAATTTTCGCATTCTCACATATTTATGCAGATTGTACTACGTTTTATCCGGTTTCACTTGAGTACTTTTATTTGTAATATGAGAGTAGAAAGTTATTCGAATTCCACACGCCTGACGTATCTAACTCAAATTGTTGGGTGCAAACATCCAATTATTAGAAGCATATTTTTTTTAAATTGCACTTTTACAAAACTCGAAAATTCACTACAGATCTACCATAATTTGAATGTAATAATTGTTACGTATGTGAACCAAACATTGTTAAAACATGACATGTGATCGGATAATAAGCATATTTTCGACAGCTTTCAAAATTTTTATTTGAAATTGAATAACATAAAAATTTTAGTGAGTTTTACCCACGACGCCTGTATCATTTTAGTTCAATTTCCACATCAAAACGGGCGATTGCTCAAATTTGCAACCTCGTGACAATTTCCAATGAGATAAACCTAGATAATCTTTAATCTAAGTCTGATTCGTTTTCCCTTTGATTTTTGTCTCCATCAAAATAGTTTCAAGTCGGCCGTTATTGAAGATTTTGAATTGTGGTTCATAGGGTCATGTGATCTAACGTGGGAATGTTTTGTTATGTACACGCCATCAGCCTGGTTTGCCTGTACTCGAATGTTATAAGCATAAAATATTTCAAAATCAATGAACTCGAATGTTTTGTGTTGGATCCACCCGCCTACATTTTAAAATCCAAATCAAAAATATATATAAGTAACTCTAAATGACACTCCTCATTTTTTTAAATGCATCAAAATATTTAACAGATGTGAAAATAAAAATGATGTTTTAATACTATGGACACATTTTAAAATTTCTATCGTGCAACTTACGTGTATACAAAACTAAGCTAGCTTGTAACTTGGTATAACTAGAAGAAATCTCAAGTTGTCAATAAGTTAGAAGGGTCTAACGACTGATTAAATTATTGCTATTTTTCTATAACGTTGCATACAAGCTATTCAAAGTTTTAAAACACAGAATCAGTATAACTTTATGTGATCCATGGCTTTTCGGACATTTTTGAATGCTCAAATATAGGACATAGTCTTTTTGTATTTTGAGTATCGTCGCACGGCACATTGTGACGTCAAACTTTGAGTTTGTATTTAACGAAGTTTAATTATATTGTTTTGTTTAGAAAATATATATCAACATTACGTTGTTGTTGGCGGAACTCCCGTTCTATTTGAATTATGGACACAGCTGGTCAGGTATGTAATTATTTTCAATTAATTCCTTGTTTTATTCATTTGTATGAGGCCATGGATAATTAACATTTCATTAATTGACATTTATGTTTACAACTGAGTATTTACACGTATTGTAAAAGACGGATTTGCAAACAAATTGTTTCATATCACTATCCACACAGTCATCCACATGGGTTATGTACAAGCAAAACAAGACGAATTTATAATAACTAGTTTAGTAGATTTTGATTTTATACTGACGACAATATTATTCAAAAAATTGTAATGTTTTGTGATATACATACTAATGATTTTTAAAAACCTCCACGGCTGCTAACCAGTGATTTTTTCAAACGATACGTAAAAAAATTAGCGTGTGGTGGTGTCTTTTGTGAGGTCTTTCTATCATTTTAGTAATTTACATGTTCATACATTATAATCTTTTTTCTATATATAAAGGAAGAAAATGAGTTGATGATGGAGGAAAAAATTCGATGGGCAGATGCTTTTATTCTCGTGTATGCTATTAATGATCAGACAAGTTTCGAAGAACTTCCGAGGTTCAAAGTTACGATCACGCACACGATCGCGCAAATGAGTCACCAACACAAGGTGTGTACTTCAGATTACAACTTATCATTTTGACTACACTAACAGGTGCTACGTTTTATTAGTGTACTATATAGGACCCTATTATCTATAATCTAAATATAGAACAGACATCTCTCCATATCCAATTTAAATACGTAGTGTACATATCGTTTGCTCAATTCTGTTGCTGTTATATTTGTGTTGGGCTTCATCTTATTGTTACTCTTATTCTTGAAAAAATTTATTTTCTTTGCAACTAATTGAACAATCAATACAAATTGAAAATGAAATCGCTTGAAGGCTAATACTTCAACTCATTTGTTTTTTGAATTTTCACTTGGTTCTATAAATCGAATATTTATACAGAACTTTGGCCTTTTAAAATTGAATGAGAACACTCAAACGCTTCCGTATTATCCTCCAATCTTTTTATCAACCCGATGTTCTCAGGCCTGTCATACTCGTACCGATGCGCGACCTCCGTGTATAAATATATTCAAGCATACTCTCTTATTTAAAATATTTTATTATTGGAAAATGCATTACAGCTGAGTCAGCAAACGTCAAAAGTTTTGTAGATTTAGACCATTCAACCAGCATATAAGTATAACCTCATGTTTGACCTTTCCAGCCAAGTACAACCAGAACCAGTCATCACTATTGTTGAGAATAAAAACAGACTTAGAGGCCGGATCGAATGGTTGATAGATTACCGTGGGCGAAGGGTCTTGGCAAACTAGTTTGAGAGGTGATTTCCGAGAAATATTCTGGTAAGATTTAAGTTTATTTGGACACGAAAATGGACCTATGGATCGTTTTGTTATTATTTTGTCCATGTGTGTTATTATATTGTCACCTATGCTGATATTATTTCTTTTTCTTCTTTTACTGTCTTTTTGTTGTTAAAAATCGCTTTTCTTATTAAACTAACTCGGACCACTTGCCTTAAAATTTCCTGTGTTTAAGGATTTGTATTGTTTCGCTAGAAGGGTATACTTTTTTATTGTAAAATGTCTGTGGGCTCTAATAGAATTTGTTTTTTTTTTTGTGTGTGCAATTGCGTTATCAAAGAGTGTGCACCTGTGGCGGTTACGTTAGCGTTAGTCGTGCAGTTTGTGGTACGTTTTGAACGTCGTGCCCATATATTTGAGCATCGCTCTCTTGTAATTATATCCGAAGCAAGAAGTTCATGGGAAAATGATGATGTATATAGTACAAATAATAACTTGGCTTCATGTAAAAGTTTTTAAAAAACTCGCAATTCAGCGAACCCTAAGTTGTTGAGAAAGAATTTCTAAAATTATAATCTGATTGCTCTTTCCCAGTTGATGTTTTTACAACATATTCATAGTTGAAGTAAAAATGAATTTATATTGCGGATTTTTAGGAGAATTGTTATGGAATTTGTGGCGTGTAAAATCGTCATTCAATTTTCGGTCAGATAATTGGAATCTCATTTTCCACACCTGAGTATGATAATTAATACTTCATTAATTGCATACCTGGCATCTAAATTCTCCGTCCACGCTTTTAATTTGTTCATTGAAATTTCATGATGAATCACAAATTATCATTCATTCAAAATCTGGTAGCTAAATTGGGAAATAAATTTACGGGTTTCTACCCTTTATTTTAATACGGTATGTCAAAAAGCAACACGGACAACGATATGTTTTACGATATACAACGATTTACGTGTTTATCTCGGGGATAGGAAAGTCGATAAGAAGGCTCAATCATATGGCGAATGACGGTCTGTTACCAGTCTATGTAGGTATGGACTGGTTAGTCAGTTATTTGATTTCGGATGCATGGGCTGCGTTGTGGATGAAGCCGCAACCGACCACCGGTTACGTAAATTCGCCACAGGGACGATGAGTCCAGCAATCCTCTCGCACATTCTCACGGATTCTAGCTTGCGAACTCACACAGGGTAATCATAATTGCGGTGACAAGAATATTCCCTGCGATTGGCACAGTTACACGGTACGCCACATCGAGGAGCCTGCTTATCTGTTTTAATTTTATCTATTTTTGGTCGTTGATTTTTTGTTCTAAAACAATTCGCACTTGGTGTTGTTGTTACATATGCATTTTTTTACAGTACGAGACGGTCTGAACGACGTGATCAGTGTTTTGAAGATACTTACGAATTCTACAAAACTCGAATGGCAGTATTCCATTCTTTGAACGACAGCAATGGTTCTTTGAGAAAGAAAGGGAAATCTTTCAAATACGTTGACAGAATACCAAGAATGCAAGGAAAACGTCGAAACTATAGTTATAATGACTTATTACCACGTCATCACGTCATCAATGACGTGATCAGTGACATTATGACAAGTAAAATTGATGAAGATGAAATATCTGATAACTTTCCTAGTTCCGGGAACAACTCGCGATTCTTTCACAGATCTACTGCCTCACTACCAACTGATGTCATAGCCAGTAATCCCGAAAATGGTAGACCGCCCATGAGATCTCGCCGGAATGCAGTAGTCGGGCTCACAAATGGGATACATTTAAACAGTGACACGCAATCTTCAGATTCCGACCAGGACCGTAGACGTCAGAAGCTTATAAAATCATCCCACTTAAGTGACGATTCGCTCAATGATCGCCACAGGTCCTCGGTGACAAGAGCCCGTACTTTAAGAATATATGACTCTAACAACAACAGTGAGATGGGCGCAAACAGACGGTGTAGGTCACAAGAGCACATTGATCTAAACAGGTCGAATAGTATGGTAGAAACTTTACAAAACGCGCAATTTCTTTTGACATTTCAAATAGACTATCAAAACGTGTTTAGTAACTGAGCAAACCTTTTGAAATTTTTACTTTGCGAATTGTTTCTTGTTTCATATAAAGCCGACAACATTTTACAATATCATCATATTTTTAATTAAAAACCTATTGTACGTTGTCTAAAAGGAACTTCACCTTCAGATGCTACTGGTTTTCACAAACATCGTCAGGAAACAACCCCTCCATAGTATCACCTAACGATCATAAATCATTGTTGAACATTTCGCCCTACAAAATTGTTATAATGTAGTGAAACGTTTCCCAAAAATAAAGATCAACTAACTTCCCTCATTATGTTCCTCAACGTGTTCTTTAACAATGTATAATAGGTGTGTGTAGTGACAAATGTCTTTTGGCTTTACTCAAAAATTGCGATTCAAATTTTGGTATAGGGTAAATTTGTTGAAAGTAATATCGACAGTTTCAATTGAACTTCATCTTCCTGGAAACCTTCTATTTTTATTGGTAGCTACTGTGAAGTAAAATTTTGTAATAAGTGTTTTAAAAAGAATCGTGTTATGTTCTTGGATTTATCACAATAATTTCGGATTCATGTATATACTAATGCAGGCAGTATGCATGTTGATGATTCTTGAACGCAAATAACCGAATTGATTGGAAAAAGTACAAGCAAACACATACATCCATGTTCATTTAAATTTTTCTGTTAATATTTCACATGGCAATCAATTCCTGTTTAAATTAGCCTATTATATCGTACTTTACTTAATTTATTTCATTTTCTAATTGTTATTTCTTATTTGCTTTGTTTTATTTAATTTCTTGTTTAATTAAATTTGAATATAGAAACCAATAAGTCTAGTTCATTTTTTTTGGATTATTGATTTGGATTTATTGGATTATCCGTACACAAGATAACTTCCAACAAATGTAAAACGTACATTGGTCTACATCTCTTAATGGCAGAATTATTGGGCGAATAAATGTTTTGACTTAGGCATCGTAGTTTGTTAGATTCGAGAGAAGACAAAATTTTCAGATTATTTGGAAAAATTCATTATTCAGATACGGCACCACAAATTTAAAATATGCTGGTGGTTCCCTTTTTCACAGTAGATTCGACGTTGGCGCTACGAACTTCTTACTTGATAAATTGCATTATTTACTGTTATAATGATAAGCAGCTTTATCTGTGCTCCGGGAGTATTTGTACCAAGATGATGCACAAACTGTAACCTTGTACACATACTATGTTCAGGTTGTGCGCCATCTTGGTACGGATACTCCGGGAGTACCGCTTTATGTACCTGTTATGAGCATTTGTTTGTCAAATTTGGTAGCAACTATGTCACTGCACGGTGGCGCACGTGAGCTAGCTAGAGATCCCGATATCTTAAGAGAAACTACAGTGGAGCAACATGCCTGGCAATTCCTACTCCTTGATTAGATTTTTTTAATATAGAACTTAAACAAAATCTTATCCCGTTGATGGAATTATTCCAAACAGCGTTACAAAATGTTGATAAAGTTTTGTTGGAGTGAAATTATATTTTATTCAGTTCCACATCGCAATATCACCAGCCTACTTGTAGAGATTCGTAACATTTTTATAGCACAACGTTAATTTAAGGAAAGGGTTCCAAGCCTAGCTGACATATAGGCCTACTACTGTTCCTTCAGTCATTGAATCATCCGCCAAGAATTCCATGTACATGACCCAATGCGAAATACTCGCTGATATGACAGAAACGATTACATGGAACGCCGTCAATAAGCAATCAAATACTGTCGCCGCTTGATAACAACTCGCGGATCTTGTTTTGTTTTTGAGCTAATGGAGGGTAATCATGTCACTAGCGTTTCCGCTGGATGAAGTCTTCGAAACGAATTTTTCCGGTCTGTAAAATGCTAATGTTCTATTGACAGGTCAATAATCTATAAACCGTTGGTGAATGTATATTATTATAACTTTTGAACATCAGTAGCCTATTATATATATATAAAATGAATACATAGGTTCGTAACTACGCTAAAATTACTTGAATATTTTGTGCAAAGAAGAATTGCGTCATTATGATGCACTTGTGGTACAAAAACTTGAATTTCTGACGCAACGTTGTTACTGAAATGTGTATTTGCGTCATTATCTTTTTTCTATACACAAGTGGTTCCTTTTGGGTCGCGGCCTCGGGTGGGTTCACGTGAAGATTTTAGGGGTCGCCTAACCTCTGTTGAACATACGCACACAAGTCACTAGGATTTAAAAGTGAAATTGGTGCTGTTTGGGTATCAATAAATGCAATTGAGTGCTAGTGTTACGATCGCCAATGATACTTGAGTGTTTACAGTTTTTTTGATCATGTTACATCCGAATAAGTAGTTTACCTTAGTTCGGATCTTTCCAGACCACCTTGTAGGCTAATCCAATGGACCCAACAGAAAAATTTCGGTTGACGATAAATTATGTTGTTTGGTATTTTGCTACCAGCGTAAACCCCTTTAGTTACAGAATATAGAGTCTAGGAGACCCTTATTACCAGTCGTTCTGTTGGATCTCCGCTCTAGAAGACCCTTATTATCAGTCGTTCTGTTGGATCTCCGCTCTAGGAGAGAGACCCTTATTATCAGTCGTTCTGTCTGTGTAAATGTTTGTCTGTCTGTCTGTTTTGACGTAGCTTCTAAACGGCTGGATCAATCTGGATGAAATTTTTCAACAATGTTTTACTGTTCTTCTAGTATTGTGCTTTTACTCGAAAGACTGGGCTGATGTTTCGTTTCCATGACAGCAACGAAAAAACACCCGATCGCTGACAAATTTCTAATTTTCTAACATTCCTTTGCCATTTTGATGTAAACTAAGTAGAATATTAACATTCTGAGATCTCTACCCCCAGATTAAGAAAGAACTTTCTCTAACAAGACCTCTTTTATCTCGACAGTCCATAAACTGGGGAAGCCTTAGGAATTCTAGTGAAAATGTTTCAACAATTAACCACAGTTCCTCTCGGCTATGAGAACCATCCACACAGCGTTTAAAATGAACTGGCAATTTCAGTAACTGGTCATGGCATCTTGTTTTAGATCTGAAATTTTGAATAGGCTGTAACGATTTCTGGAGTGGAATACGACGCATGCACACTGATATCGATGAGCCGCACAGCGTTCAAAATGAACTGGCAGTTCTGATACACTTTACTCTACTCAGTACAATGGTGTCTCCGTATTACCCTTTATTAAACTGAAATTATGCGGGCCTTAAGCAATGGCAGATATCCATATTGGGCGCCTACCGGCTTGTTTCATTATTTCGTTACCGGTCCGCGAGATCATTTCAATTGATGTTACCTTCCCGTCTGGGTAAAAAGGTTGGGAACCACTTACAGTCGATATACAGGCACATTGTTCTCAATAAGATAATCCAACAGAATATACTGATTTTTGAAAATGCTTCACTTTTTTGATCGTGGTGTCGCGAGTATCTGTAGTCATTGATTTTACGAAAATAGGGGTCACGGAATAATGGTTAGGACCTACTGCCGTAGGCCTACAGTGTATTTACGAGGGGAATAACATTCATTCGCATTATTATCTCGGTACTATATACTGCTGTAGATTGTACGGTATATTTACAGGTGAATCCCCTGGTTGAGCAGACGGGTAGGCCTATACTATATTCTGTAAACGAGCGTCACCCGAAAAACAAAGGACGTGAAAACTTCTGCAATTCTGAATACGGAAACCGAACTAGGTTTAAATATTATTTATTTTTTGTTATAAATGCTTAATGTATTGACCTTGAACTTGTATCTGAACTCGAGATACGCAATGTCAGAAAGATCTTGTTCGCAATTTCCCGACGATTTGACGGCTGGAACCGTTATACAAGGAAAGAATTTTGATACTATTCATGATCAGAATGTCGTAGGTAAGTTATAAAATTTTATCACACAATGATTCATATTTTTACACCTATATTTATATATATATATATATATATATATAAAGTTTCTTTGAGTTTTAGGTGAGCGTCTCGATATACTTTATAGGCTCCTTTAAATATTTTTGTTAATGAAACAGACTGTGCGGCGACTTTTAGGGGCAATCGGTATGGTATATAATACAAGAGAGCTATGCTCAAATATATGGACACGTAGCGCCACCCAACCGCAATAATTTTGATAACGCCATAGCAAAAAAAAAGTAATAGCCTTCTGGCGAAAAATTTTATCCTTAACCACTAAAAATTTCAAAGCAATTGGTCCAGTATTCGAAGAGAAAAGCGATTTTTTAAAAATGGAGACAAATAATAACAATAACAACACAAGAGAGCAATGCTCAAATATATGGACACGCAGAACAATTCCCCAAAAATCATATGCGGTGACCAACGACTAACATACCGGCGGTGACTTACCAGTACCTGTATCGGGGTACCGTGACGGTACAGGGACTGTCATAGATATTTTAGTTCCTGTGACAATTGAAACATCAGTTGAAATATCTCGTGATATGAGTCAATTATGTACCGTATTATCGGATCAGGTACCGAACCACAGTCAAACATTTCAGATAAAAACGTTACTAAATAACATGCGTCAACTTAACACCAGCCGAATCGGGGTACAATTTTTGGTACAGTGACTGTCATAGCCGTTTAGGCCTGATGGCCAATTCGACTACACGGACAACTCACCAGGCCTAGGGTGGTGTAGCCAGTCTGCGGACAATTTCATTCAAACCGCTATAAAACAAAAACCAATATATCTAACCCGTTAATTTTTTCACCGTGGGTGCATTGGCGGCATTTATTCTACACGCTAAACCTCGTATTAACTTTCTACGACAAAGGGTTGAAGCTATACAAATCCCCAAAGTACGGCACTCGAAAGACGTATTTGCGACCGAACGACCAGTGTGCGACCACGGATTTCAAGCCTTGATCATCGTTTATGCTGCGTCGAGACTATCGCATACGCAGCCATACAGCAATCAAACAGACAAAACACGGTGGTCGCAAATTGGTTGACAATTGTTGGTCTTGTGACAGCATGAAAACATTGGGCTTCTAATTGCATTTCTGACCGTCATATATTTCAAGAACACGGTTATTTCGAACAAAACTCGTAAAATTATAAACAAAGCACCACAACACAGCAATCAAACAGACGAAAACACGGTGGCCGTAAATTGGTTGACAAAGATATTATCGACGTATCGGAAATGCACACCTCCTATTCCCCCTCCTTCAAATGTAGAAACGCGAAACTTTCAAATATGGTTAAAAGAAACACAACTCTACCCACCTGCCAAGTTTCATCTTTTTGGACACGTAGTGGACATAACGATCGTTTCAATATTATGTTGTTGTTGTTCTTGTTGGACACGTAGTGGACATAACGATCGTTTCAATATTATGTTGTTGTTGTTCTTGTTCTTGTTCTTGTTGTTCTTGTTCTTTGACACGTTTTTAAAAAGTCGCTTTTCTCTTCGAATACTGGACCAATTGCTTTGAAATTTTCAGTGGTTGAAGATTAATTTTTTCGCTAGAAGGCTATTACTTTTGTTTATTCTTAAATTTTATATGAATCCTATGAGATATGATATTTCATACAAAATTTCGCGGTATTTATTTTTACTCATGGGAACACTGTTTTTCACTTATTTCAAGCGGTTTCGCGATCGATTGTCTTGCTCAGTACTACAGCTACTGTAGGTCGGTACTGGTAAGTTGCCATACCGGTGCCGTAACGCAGTGAAATTGACTTATTCCTTCCGCGGTATTACTAATGCTGCAATGCAAGTTTTATAGCCTATCGTATGCGGAACGGAATATCAGACCTACAGGTTCGGTACCGGTACTGGTAGCTCAGTACGTAAGTACGATACTGGTACTGGTGCCGGTACCGGTGTCTTACCACAATGAAATTACCGTAACTTCTGAACTTATTCTTTCACGGTCCTACCAGTGCAGTAATGCAAGCGTTGTAGCACTTGTAGCCTAGTATATTTGTTTATTTTGATGAGAGTCTACTGGAAACAACATAAAATTTGAAAGGGAAGAATTGTTCTGTGATCAATTATCTGTCCTAAAGTGTAAACAACATAAAATTTGCAAGGGAACAACTGTTCTGTGATCAATTACCGTATATGGCCTACAGTGTACAGGTAAGATGCTGCCTGACTGCTAACTCAGTACCGCTTGACACGTTTTTAAAAAGTCGCTTTTCTCTTCGAATACTGGACCAATTGCTTTGAAATTTTTAGTGGTTAAAGATAAAAATTTTCTCCAGAAGGCTATTACTTCTTTTTTCGCTATGACGTCATCAAAATTATGTGACTCTACGTGTCCATATATTTGAGCATAGCTCTCTTGTTCTTGTTATCCTTGTTGTTGTTCTTTGACACGTTTTTAAAAAGTCGCTTTTCTCTTCGAATACTGGACCAATTGCTTTGAAATTTTCAGTGGTTGAAGATAAAATTTTTCTCCAGAAGGCTATTACTTTTTTTTTTCGCTATGACGTCATCAAAATTATTGCCATTGGGTGGCGCTACGTGTCCATATATTTGAGCATAGCTCTCTTGTTATTTCTCATATTTGTATGGATTTTCAAGCTTTTGACAGCTACGAGTTAGTTCAGTGTCACCGCGCTGTGTTACGGTACCAGAACTCCTGTCTTGTGACAGCGTGAATTGAAATTGCAAGATGGTCCGTTGGACACAAAATGGCGTCCGATATCCGCAGAACGTTTAGTGACGTCATAGCAAACAAAAACAAATCTTACAGAGCTAACAGAAATATTTGAAATAAATAAAAGTAATAGCCTTCTGGAGAAAAATTTCATCTTCAACCACTGGAAATTTCAAAGCAATTAGTCCAGTAATCAAAGAGAAAAGCGACTTTTTAAAAACGTGTCAAAGAACAAGAACAAAAACAACAACATAATATTGAAACGATCGTTATGTCCACTACGTGTCCAACAAGAGAGCTATGCTCAAATATATGGACACGTAGCGCCACCCAATGGCAATAATTTTGATGACGTCATAGCGAGAAAAAAAAGTAATAGCCTTCTGGATGAAAATTTTATCTTTAACCACTGAAAATTTCAAAGCAATTGGTCCAGTATTCGAAGAGAAAAGCGATTTTTTAAAAATGGAGACAAATAATCATATCAATAACAACACAAGAGAGCTATGCTCAAATATATGGACACGTAGAGTCACATAATTTTGATGACGTCATAGCGAAAAAAGAAGTAATAGCCTTCTTGAGAAAGTTTTTATCTTTAACCACTAAAAATTTCAAAGCAATTGGTCCAGTATTCGAAGAGAAAAGCGACTTTTTAAAAACGTGTCAAGTGGTACTGAGTTAGCAGTCAGGCAGCATCTTACCTGTACACTGTAGGCCATATACGGTAATTGATCACAGAACAGTTGTTCCCTTGCAAATTTTATGTTGTTTACACTTTGGGACAGATAATTGATCACAGAACAATTCTTCCCTTTCAAATTTTATGTTGTTTCCAGTAGACTCTCATCAAAATAAACAAATATAATAGGCTACAAGTGCTACAACGCTTGCATTACTGCACTGGTAGGACCGTGAAAGAATAAGTTACGGTAATTTCATTGTGGTAAGACACCGGTACCGGTACCGGCACCAGTACCAGTATCGTACCGGTACTTACGTACTGAGCTACCAGTACCGGTACCGAACCTGTAGGTCTGATATTCCGTTCCGCATACGATAGGCTATAAAACTTGCATTGCAGCATTAGTAATACCGCGGAAGGAATAAGTCAATTTCACTGCGTTACGGCACCGGTATGGCAACTTACCAGTACCGACCTACAGTAGCTGTAGTACTGAGCAAGACAATCGATCGCGAAACCGCTTGAAATAAGTGTAAAACAGTGTTCCCATGAGTAAAAATAAATACCGCGAAATTTTGTATGAAATATCATATCTCATAGGATTCATATAAAAATTAAGAATAAACAAAAGTAATAGCCTTCTAGCGAAAAAATTAATCTTCAACCACTGAAAATTTCAAAGCAATTGGTCCAGTATTCGAAGAGAAAAGCGACTTTTTAAAAACGTGTCAAAGAACAAGAACAAGAACAACAAGAACAACAACAACATAATATTGAAACGATCGTTATGTCCACTACGTGTCCAATAATATTGAAACGATCGTTATGTCCACTAAACGTGTCCAATAAAGCATCATCTAAAACAATAGTAAAACATCATTGCCAGGGCCGGATTTACCAGGGGCCTCGAAATTCGGTTTCGAAGTTTGTAATTCTTTTAAAAACTTGACAAGTTTAAACCCTACCTATCTATAGTATATATATATCAAGCTTTTTAGAGTAGAAAATTCTATACACAACTGGTTTCAACCACGTATCAAGTATTCAAGTACCGTAGTCTACTCTGCAAAAAACAGTATCGGTAGTTGATATGTTGCTGAAATAACTAATAGACTATTAGACGTCTTGGTATTGCTAACCTGCGTTTAGATCAGGTAATAATATCACTTCATAATTTTTCAAACCTTAAATTTATTATGAGTGAAAGATTTGAAAGTGGAGCTAGCAAGCGCAAGAGAAATAAATTGGAAATTAGAAGCAAAACTGCCTTAAGTTACTTTTTATTCTTTTAATTAAAAATTTGCACTCATGAATGGGGAGAATGAAAAGAAAGAAAAGTTTAATGCACTGATATTTTTACCAATAACCAATGACATGTGAAATCCAGCCCTAATCATCGCCGATCATTTTCTAGAAAATGAACAAATAAAATCTGCATCTTCTTGTATATATATCTCTCCTTTATATTTCATACATAACAAATGTTGTAATACTATTTAGGCCTATACAAATTTTATCACAGCTGACAGTTACCATTTTGTTTATTTTCATATCTAGTTATCAACAGCAGTGGTGAAGGTTCAGTAGTAGGTACATATATAGCAGAAAATGCAGAGACGAACCGTGTAATCAAAGGTGGATCCACCACTTTGGTTTTTGATTCTAATGGTACGTTCATGCTTCATAAATTATTTTTATCAATTGTCGTCTATGAAAGTCTATGTGTTTGTTATACATTTATATATATTATTGAAGATTTATACACATATACATTTCATAGGATAGCTGCAATGGAATAAAGTTGCATATCATTTTTTAGGAGAACGCGAGAATATCATTGCTGGGTTTCACCACCATAGGTAGCTTCGAAGAAAACAATAGTTGCCGTCATTGATCAATTTTTTATTTCTATTTTGTTCATTTTATTTACGAGTAATTGTTGCAGTTTTATAAAATTGAGTATCTTTTTTTTTTTTTTGACATAATGGTTTTGAATTTATGTGTTCGGCCACGGGACAGGCACGTAGATTTTCTTAGATTCAGAACACTTTGTTCTACCTTGGCAATTAAACTTTTCTGAAACATGTTGCGTGAAATCAAGCATGACAGCCAATGGCCATGCCTCTCTTGCAAAATAAACTTGCTTTTCATGTTGCGTTTTGTTTAAAACCTGAAGTGATAGTATAGTAGCCATAGTCAAGTATCTGTAGTCTTTGATTTTACGAAAAAGTTGGGAACCACTGCTGTACTGTATATTTACAGGGGAAATAACAAAGATTCGCACCATTATTTCGGTTTCATATGATGTACAGTATATTTACATGGTGATTACTGATTGTCTTGGGTAAGTAGTTGGGTAGGCCAATATGATATTCTACAAACGGGCGTCATCCGAAAACAAAGGAATCGAAAACTTTCGTGATGTGTAAATAAGTTAGGTAAATATTAATGTAACTTGTTGGATTTTTTTTTCCATTTCTGAATTATGCTCGACTAAGCTTGAATACATATGTTTAACGGAACTTACCTGCTTCGTCAAAAAGCTCCAGCAAAATAACTGATTTTTGCATCATATACTTATATATATATTGTATTACTAATGGCGCATAACGAACCGTTATGCGCCGTTAAAATCGTTTTTGTTAAATATGGATGATTCCCTGTAACCAGAGCTATTAAAAGTGGCTCCGGTGTAACTGTGGATCTTGTAACTTGTGTGATGAAGTCTAAGCAATATTTGCTATTGAAATATTCAGAATATTTTATATTATTGAACATAATTTTTGTAGATTTTCAAAAACGTTGAAAAATTTGTTTTCGAACTGAAGAAACAAAATTAGATGGCTTAAATTTACAGACCCACGAATAGTAATCAATATATTTGCATTCAAAAGTAACCCAGTTCTGACGCATACTCACTTTGCCTGACGTAAACCCTAATCAAAACAAACAGGATGGCCGTATGGTTCCTCTTTGTCGAGACGAAACCAACATTTGATACAAAGGTATACTAAAAATAGAAATACGGAACTGTTTGCGTGGCATAAAAGGCTGTGAGCACCTCGGATTATTTATCGTTGATAAAGTTGGGTTGCTGTTTGAAGTCGCTTTAATGATGACAGAATTCGAAGAAAAATCACTGAAAGTGATTTTTGATGGATCAAACCTTGGTGTTAACTACGGTGATTTAGTACTTAAGACTGATATAGAAGCAGTAAGAAATGCTATCACGTCTGTTGTGGGTGTCGTAAATCTAGACATGTGCTTAAAATTAGGTGTTGGCGCGGTTGCCGCTACATCTTTATATGTTGCTGCAAAATGCCTTAAAGGGTATTTGCCATGGGTTAACATCCAAGACGTCAATGAAAATAATGTTCTCAAAGTTGCCGTTCCAAAAAAACATGAAGAAAAGTTTAACAAATTGCTTGCTGAGGGAAAAATAACTCAGAAGGTGAAAATGGATTTTGAAGATCTGGATACCACATTAATGAGGTTTCTTGGAGATCACCATGTAAAACAAAAAGAAATACTTGATCTCATCGAAAAAGTCAGAATTAAATCCGTTGAAACGTAAGTAAAATAATTTAGTTTCAGTGAAATCTTCTAGCACATTAAAAAAAGGGCGCAACTTTATAACGCTATTTTCCGTTGTAAACGGGAAGTAAACTTGGGAATTATTATGCGGAATCGTTGTCGTTGGTGGCTAATGTTAATTGTGTCGTAAACACAAAATAGTTGTACTTTTTCACCAAACAACAAGAGGGCAATCACTAGTATAGGTTTTCAGATTTTTTTGTGCTCTAACGGCTATTAATTTTCATTGGTAATGATAAAAGTTGCGACGAGCTGACAACATAAAGCGCCGGGACCTTCACGTCTCCAAGGGAATTGAAACATGATTTTTAAAAATAGCTTAAAATAAATTTTACAGACCATGTGTGTCAGAAATTTCAGCAAACACTACGGCTGGTGTGGTTATGGCAGGATATAACAGTGATGAAATACATAACCGAAACGTTAAAGGTGAGACAAAATTATAAACAACATATATATAATTCTTTTGTTGTAGTAGGCTACCAGCATGTTTATATTCTTTTTACAAACGTGTGTTTTTTTATTTTCTGGTTTGCCTCATGGTCACTACACTTATTACAATTTATCAATTTTTAGTTATTGGATTTGGGAAAGGACTGGTAGCTGGAGAACTCATGACAAACAATGCACGCGTGGAACGTAAGATATATGGCGGAGCCATTATGGTTGAGAGAAGAAATATAGGTAATTTATAAGATAATCATCAAAACAGCGAATAAACCAAGAGATCATTCAAAGTCAAACTAGTTTGATGAAGCAAACATTTGATAATGCAATAAATAGTTTTTCAGTGATATTAAATATCTTAATTCTATTTAACGAAAGATAACTCACTTATTGAGAATTTAAAGGGTATTCATTTCATATACATAAGTGATACAATATAATAAAAGATATGCACTAAAACAGCATGTCCGCATTCCACAATTGACCAATAACGGCTTGTCTGACGCTCATAGTCTATAGAAATTTAGCTAAACATGAAAGTTCAATTTGAACATTTTACAAAGATTTATGAAAATATGCGAGTAAATTGAATTTTTTTTTTATATTTCATTAGAATAAATAAAATTAATGAAAACAATGTTTTTACATAATGTTTGCACAGGTGATGTATCAAAATTTAAATATTCTATACATTTTATAGATAACTCTGTTCCATTGCAGAACGACAATGAAGCAAACGAGGATTAGTCTCTGATTTGATTTTTCAGATCTGGTCCCTAATGGTCTCTAACTTTCAATTTTGGATGATTAAATAGAATTAGTATCATTTCTTGCAAATTTTCGTTGTATATTTGTAAGTTTTGCATTAAATAGTTTGATCTTGAGGTATGTTGGGATGTAATTTGTGTTTGATGGCATAAAATAACATAGCAGTTATAGATAATAGCTCTTCGCTTTAATTTAGTTACTCTCTTGAAGACTTCCGGGGGAATTTTACATTCATTCATTCCGTAACATTACTGACTATAATTCAAGTCAAGTTTTTGGGGACGATTTAAGATATGTACACCTGATGAGTACTAGTAATACAATAGTAGGCTCATCTGAGATCATTGACAGATCACACTAAAAAACGATGATGGCGTATGAATTAAATCAGACAAGGTATTTATTATGAGGGAATACCCGAAGTCGTTTGTATATTCAATACAATAAAGGCTTATTATAAGGTTCAAATTATGTGTAATAATGAATACAACTGAAGCCGCTTGAAACAAAGGGAGTGTAGCACGCTAAGGTGACTTGATCTGTTAAATCTGGAGTTCAATTGTTGGATTTACATTGTTCCCAAATTTTATGAACGACTTTCGGTTCTTAAATTGCAATTTGTCAAATAACTAAATACACAAATGACGCACAAAACTCTTTATTCATTTATAAAAACACTCAATAAATGCCGTTCATTAAAAAATAAATTGTGCTAAGATTAATTTTTCAATTGAATATTATTCGTTGCTTCACTAATCTGCATTGGAGAAAGACAGCAATGCTAAAATATATGGACACGAAATACAAAACAAATTACTTTTCGTACCGTACATACCTTCACCGCGTAGCGTCGAATCGGAAACATATAAGTTTATTTTGACTCCATAACCAGTATAAGAGACGATAGAATAATTGATAAAAACAAAATAAACAAAACCGATTACAGAATCAGGAGAGCAAACAACACTTTAGGTAAGGTTTAAAACGTACAGATTTTAGATAGGAAGATGTTGTCAGAAAAAGTGGTACTTGTTCGCCCACCCAAAAGTATTAAGTTGATTTAAAACACATGTACGCGCACATATACAATTTAGCAGACAAAATAAAAATAGAGAAAGAAAAAAAAGATAAGATATATTACTTGGTAAAAATAATATACAAACAAAAAATAAAAATAAAGTAAAAAAAAAATTAGCTAGCTAGCCATATTGATGATTTTGTAAGAATTGATAAATTGTATTGGTATATATAGGACTGAAATATGTAGGAAAATATTTCTAAAAAGGAGCTGATTACAGTAGGAGTCTTCTAATGCCAAATTGACCAATCGGAATCAAAATAAATCCAAAGTAGCGTCCAGAATATATCAAATGGATGTAATAGATCAGGGTGGTCCAAACCCAGGCCCGCGGGCCACATGTGACCCGCCGCTCCAATATCTGTGGCCCGCGTCGCATTTGTGCGGGGGTAAACAAAAAATCGCATATGGTGTTTTTTCGTCATAAAAATAACAAGAAAAATCTTTCGACTCATTGTTTCATCACTAATGCCACTGAATTGACTGGTGTTATGACTAGCGGAGGCAACTAGTGAAGTTAAATAATGTGGCTTGTCTAGTCCAAATTGTTATCTGGCTTTTTGTTCGTGAATATATGCTAACTAAATAAGCTCCATTGAAAACTAAAAATCTAATGAGGAATCTATTAGCCTAGGTTGGCTATGCATGATAACTAAATATTAATGTAATGACCGAACAATATAATTTCTGCCTGGAGATTTTTTGCAACCAGCCTGAACAATATTACAATAAATGCTGCCTATACATATGTCAGAAAAATTTAGTAATTCCCCTCATGTATCTCAAATTTGGTAAAATTCGGTAATCAATCAATCTGCAGTTATTTGTAAACATGAGTTTGAAAAGAAAGCTGACAAATTCAAACAGATTTTCGACTGGATATGAGAGTGAAAAATATCACAATGCTTGCTTAATATGTCTGCAAGTTGTGTTGGTGACAATCTAAAACGGCATTTTCTCAATATGACACTTTCTCCGTTGTGAAGAGTTTGAAGAATTACACTGAATATAGATATAGTAGGATTTTTGCATGTTTCAGTGAGTTTTTTAGTGGTTTTTGCGTTTTTTATCTTGATAAATAATGATAAATGTGTTTGAACAATAAAAGTGTTTGTTTTGTATTGCACTGTTCACCCATTCTTGTGGCCCGCGAGGCCGACAACCTTGGACCACACTGTAATAGATAGATGTAATGTTAGGAATAAACCAAAATTCAGCCTTCAGCAACAACAACAATGTTCAATCGTTAAAAATCGCAAAAAAAATTGGTCCTGTAGTTAAAAAGAAGAGCTATTTTTCATGCGGTAACAACAACAACAAGAAAACAGCAACAACAACAACAAACTAACAAAATGATCCATAAGACCATTTTTGTCCAATTAGTAAGTGCAAAACAAAGAAGACTTACGCGTTTGGCTAATAAAGCTGACCTTTACCGTTCCGCTTCTGTACTCAATGGATGTTTCCCACAAAGCTATATATGTCTCCAGTTCGGTGTGGACCTGTGGGCCGCACGTGGTTTAATGTTTTCCAAAAAAAATGATAGGTATGAATATGTAATCCAGTTTGCAAGCAACTTTCTGAAACACTATCAAAATGAGCATTGGAAATCCTCAGGGAAATTTTTGAGGGGTTTTAGGGGCGGGGCAAACGACCACATGCGCACGCGGCGTTAATTAGGGGCATTCACAACCTTTGACCGCGGATTTAGACAGATATAAAACAGAGCAGCAAAAACACACCAACCAACCTTAGCAGCCTTAAGTTTTCACCACCTTGGTAGTTTAAGGCGATGGTTCTCAACCTTTTTTGATTCGCGGACCGGTAAAATTTCAAACAAATTTTTCAGATAGGCGAACCTTTGAAATTAACCAAAAATATCATGATTCATGAACACAAAACGTTATTAAAAGAATGCAATTACGACAAAAGGAGTCGGTGCAAAAGAAGACAGTCCAGTTAAATGTAAAATTTTCGGCTGTCTTTTTGATATTATACGTGCTAAACGCGGTTCTAATGAAGTTTCTGCAAGGCGAAGTGGAGTGTTGACTTCCATTTTGCTATCAAACCTCGCTAAATTATAAGCATACTGTCAAATTACGGAACGTGCGAACTGCGAAGTTCTCAATCAGGCACGGTACTACAGCGCTTTTCAAACTTTTTTGTCGCGGCCCACTCTCACAGAAAGTTTTACTTTGCAGACCAACCTTATTAAGATTTTTGTTTCAGAGGCTAAAATAAGTCGAGGCAGGGTTGTCCAAAATGAATCGAATATTCGAATACTTTTTCGGCAATTTTTTGAATGATAGCCATATTTCGCCGTCGGCTGGGTGTTTCGTTTTTGAGTGAAATCTTCAAACTATTTCTGCATTTTTTCATGTATATTAATGACAATGAAAGAAAACCGGTACATTGAATGCTTGTTCTTTTCTGTTCGAGCGAGCGCCGCATATTGTTGCGACAATTTTGCACGGTTGCGCTATGGGCATTGCTTTGCAAGGCTTCTCATTTACGCATTCATTTCCATTACGTCGAAATTATGTAAAGCTGTAATTTTGATGATTCAATATAATAATTTATACCTTTTCACGCTTTTTGGCAAATTTTACAGCAGACGTATCCTATAGTCACGCTCGAGCGTCTGAATTGATGATATCGACTGGGATTCTCACGAGGAAACCATTGCTATACTTTTTCGCGGACCACTGGTTGAGAAGCGCTGCCGTACTATGTGCTATCACACTACTCCGTTATGAGATCATAGACTTAACAAACATCCAGCATTTCAGGGCTTTAAATGGGCGGGGGACCATCTCGCCATGTTTGGTTGTTAGACGAATAGCGGTACTACAAATAAAAAAAATTAAAAAATCACAAAATTGAAGGACATGCCGCCAATACTTTGTATTTTGCAATTTGCATATAATATGTTAATACTGGAATATATTTAGCGGACCGGCAGCAAGGTTGCTGCGAACCGGCACCGGTCCGCGGACCGGCAGTTGAGAACCACTGGATTAAAGAATCACTGGGCATTGGCGTAATCTATATTTATGTGAGTGAAGCAATGTCCTTTACCTTTGCTTGGGTATACTTAGATCTAGGATAGCAAAAGTCTATATTTGATAACAAACTGCCGATTATAATTGGGATGAAGAGGTTCCCAGAAATCAGATGCAGATCTCCCGCTGATGGTGTTCTTTAGTTGCCGTTTTTCAATCAAATGAAACTTCTGTTCGTAACTACTTATTAAATGGACCTTTCCCCCACCTTTGACCCCCGGAAAATTCTTCTCATACTTTATCATTGGAAAATTTTCGGGACTATTTTAAGAGTGCCTTTGCGAGTTGGCGCTTGTAAAATGGGGTATGTGTTTTAAACCATCATTAGGATCCATCGCATACAACAACCTGTTTTTTAAAAGTACCGGTGAAGAATTTTTAGGGATAAATTCGTTATTTCAGGTAAAATACATTAAATAGACTTGAAATTGCTAATTTCGAATTTCTCCAAATTCATGAATTGGATCGATATAGGGCCCGTTGTAATTAGACAACCCGAACAAAGAATTGCAAGCCTTCTGATGTGGATTCGAAATCGCTAAAGGTGAACCAACAAAACAACAACAGCACATATATATCGAAGAAGTAAAATACCGACAACAACACAAACGATGGCACTGCTGAGACGAATATTGAAGCATTACAGAACACAATGGTACGGAATCGGAAAAGAATCAGACGACGGATAAAGACCAAGTCCACACAATGAACTTCTGTTTGAATTCAAAAATACAAGGTAGAAAATCGTATCAGGCTAAATTAAACTGATGGTATAATACAACGAACGATAATCTTTTTTATAAACGTCCGAAGGAAGCGCACGCTTTTAGATATTCATGAAGATCACAGCAAAAAATGATCGAGCAAAACAATCGAATGAAAGTATTATTCATCTAATTGTTTTACTTTGTTACACATATATAAGATTTTTTTCTTACTGGGACATTTATCGTAGGCTACTATACTTCTTTTCTCAATGTATAGTCCTTCTTTGACTTTTTTGGCGATATTAATTGGATCCTAATTTCTATGAATTGATTGAAAACAGACTTTGAGTGTTTACTCAAATTGCAACTAATCTTATGGCCAATTGATTATGCAATGAAGGTGAATATTCGATTTCAAAATTCTTGCCATTTATAATAATTAAAATTTGACCGATGCAAACTATTTTGATCAGATAGATTTCATTAACACTGAACTATTTTTAAAAGATGATTCAAGTAAGTCACTCTCTTAATCGTTTATAACATCGTTATAAGAACGGTGCATAAATGAGCTCATCAATATATTCGTCAAAAACGAGTATATGACAATTTTTTTAACAAACAAAGCGCTATTTTTTAATTTTTTTCAAAGCCCGAAGCTGGCATTATCAACATATCGCAACAAGCGAACTTACAAAGCGTTATTTTCACTAAACTAGGGTTATTCAAACACATGAGCTATCAGTAATTCAGTGTGACGAAGTATATTGGATTGAAAGATCAGTTTTATCTGTCGCAATCAAACTTAAAACAGATGACAACCAAAAATATTATTGAATCGATGACATATGGTAATTAGTATTCCAAACCCAAATTGATAACCCTAATGGAATCGATATCACCATACGCACATACGTATAAATAAGGTTTCAATTGGATATTTGGAAGGGGGGGAGGTATTAAAAGGTCTTGTATTAGGAGTCAAGTCGTCTGGATCGGTGTCGTGTCGTCATGTCTTCATCGTTTGTTCTCCGTGTATAACTACAACATTAAACTCATCTACAACGTTGAACGTATTTTTTATTGGCTAAAAATTTTAGTCTAGTCTATCACAGCTATTTCTACACTAATTTTTTATTACTGCAATTAAATTAAAACTCCTAAGAAGACAGAGTGATCATTGAATTATCTAATTTATATTTAGGTTTCCGCAACATAACTGAAAACTAACGAATATAGTCCAAAAACGCGAAAACGAGGTAATGTTTACGACCACGCTTGAAAATCTGTCTGAGTGAGAAAAGTGTCTGAGCGGATGCAAAAAGGGAGCATTGTTACGTCACTTTTTGCATCTTGCTAATTGGGGAAAGGTCCATACGAATGAGAAGTTCCCAGCATTCAGATACAAGTTTTTTTAAGAAAGGTGGTTTATATTTCAACCAAATGATTCATGTACAAATATACAACAACTATGATGACTGTTGTATGAGCTCGAGCATGGAGACGTTCTGCTGCAATTATCGGTATTCAAATCGTGAACATCTAAAAAAATGTGATATAGGTACTTTTACAACATAAGTATGTCATTTTTAATTATCACAGATATAACCAATCTTACCTTATAACATTTGCAGTAAGTGAATAGTAACTTTCTTTCACTTTGGCATACCGATACCGGTAGGTACGGTACTTTTTGAGCTGCTACCAGTACGGTACCGCCGGCACCTGTATTCATAAGCAACCATACCCCCCATTTCAACACGTTATTTTACTCAAATGACATAATGCCTCAGAATACATTTCGTTTTTTGAAATAGTATGTTTTAGTTTCCACAACGAAACACCATGACATTCCAGTATTCATAGCAAACATTGCAAGTCAGAACTAGTCGCGTCGGCTTTCCGAGCAAGAAATCGCAGCCGTCACCTCTTTTTGCATCAAGTCGCAACAGGTCAAAGGTCATGAATGTCCCAAATACACCAGCCAGCTATAAGATACGGAAGTATTGGAGAGCTAGCAGCGTTCTTTTTCTTTGCACTCGTATGGAAGGGTGATAGGAGGGTAGTTTCAATTCCATTCGATAAAGTGATGCTGGCGTTGAAATTACGTTTTAAACTTACCGTCTGACCGTACTGTACAATGGCAGAATTCGAATTAAAATTACTAAAAGTGAATATAGAGGGATCAAATGCTAATGTTAGCAACCATGATTTAGTTCTCAAGACTGACATAGAAGAAGTAGGAAATGCTATCACGTCCGCTGCAGGTGAAATAGCTCCAGACAAATGTTTGGAGTCAGTTCTTTCCTCAGCTCAGCCAACCGCCTCTACATCTTTATACGTTGCTGCAGAGTCCATTATTGGGCATACGCCATGGGTCAAAATAAATGAAATCCAAGCAAATAATGTTCTGGCAGTTTCTGTTCCAAAACAATATGGAGAAAAATTCAACAAATTGATTACTGATGGAAAAATAACTCGAAAGGTGAAAAGCGATTTTGAAGATCTGGATACGACAGTGATGAGAATTCCTGGAGCGAACCCTAAGAAACAAAAAGAAATACTTGATCTCATTGATGAAGTCAGAATTGAATCTATTGAAATATGGTAGGTAAATAAGGTTAGTTTTAATAAAACCTTCTAGACAAATAAAGAAACATAAATTACAGAATTAAGGCTGTTTGATGTTGTGTTGGTATCACATTTAATATTTTAGTAGGGTAGTTAAAATGGAACATTTTACCAGTACTGCAGTAGGACATTGCTTTTGTATGTGTTACCCTGGGTTTTTCTGGGCCATTGATCTATTCCAAACGACATGAACATAGATTGAAGGATATACCTGATTTTAGAAATAATTCCAATGTATTTTCACAGGGACAAAGGGTCTGAAGAGTTGAATTATACAGCAGGTGAAATTATAGAAGGAAAGAACACCGATACAATAACTAACAAACACACCGTAGGTGAGACATCGATTTTAAAAGAACAATGTTATTTATAACTATCAGTAGAGGTACGCAAGACTAACTCCCAATCTTTTCTCAATGCCTTTGCGCTAGTGGATCCGTATGCTTATAATGCAAGGATGCTGTAGCAGGAATGAAAATACCATAATATGCAATTCAAGAGTTCTGCTGCAGTAATATTTATGTTGTTCTTTTGACACAATTACCAGTATATTCTTTTGTTTTCTATTTTGGCTCATGTACAGCAACAATTCATTTTTTAGTTATTGGAGATGGTGAAGGATGCGTGGTTGGAACACTAATGAAAAAAGGCTCAGATGTGAAACGGACGATACAGGGTGGAACCACATTAGTTGTCGGTGGACTTAAAGGTAATTTTGAATGCTAAATGAAGAAAACAATGAGATCATTCAAATACAAACTAGTTGGATGAGGTCATAATTTGATAATGCAATGAAAAGTTTGGACAGAATTTGAACACCAAATTTAATTTCCTAAAATAGTCTCACATATCTTAATCTAAATTCAATTCTGTTATTACCCCAGACTGTTACTTTCCATATAAAAAAAAAAGCAAACAGATAAAAATAAGCACAGTAAATCTAAACATCACAGTAAATGTCGTAATATCAGCAAAATTATAGATTAGTCTATTAATTCAGATACATAAGGTTCATGACGAAATCAAAAAAAAAAATACAAGCACTGTAAATATGAAACATCAATGTCAACAAAATGTAAAAATAATAGAAATAGACTTTATTGATGCTTGTACATATGTGATAAAAAAATATTCCCTATAATTGAAGAAAAACAAATACAGCTAGTTTAAAACAAATAGCGGACCTATGGGACTTACAAGAAGGGTCCAGTTCATGTAAATTAAAAGGCCATAAGTAGGAGATAGCTTGTCACAGACATGAATGGCCTGGAATAATCTGTCACTGGCATAATCTATGGGGAAAATCGCAGCACTGTGGAAGTTTTTATGTATTATGGTAAAATTATCCCTCATTTCTTTGAGAGAGTGTATGAAACTTCTGCAGTTGTGGAACAGATTTTTGTTAAGGGCATAATTTGAAATGAGGTATTAAATAAAGTTTTTTTGTATGATAGCTACGAATCATAATATGTTGACTTCGGCTTTATCTTTATCATTGGTTTTTGACAAGTTAAAGTGAATTTTGCTAATTTGAAACTAGAAGAGCAGATGATGATCGGCCTTGAAGCAGAAGTGAATCTGGTGTTTGATTGTTTTCCCACGAGTGTATATTTCCTCTTTTTACAAGAAAAAGGTGTTTTCATCTGGAATTGATCATTTTCTCTGGCGGTCATGAGATTTTTTCAAATTTATCAGGGTGTTCGAGTAACTTCTTGCCTTTTCTCTTCATCCTGAGTAGTTTCGTGGGCCATGGATTCTAATGATTACCTGCATTGACTTTGGAATCAGCCACTGCTGTTTTGGCATATGAGGGACAGTGAATTTTTCTTAAGACAAGATTATGTCTTCCTACAATAAGTGGAAAACCTAATCTTGTTAGCTTGAAAAACTTCTTTCGAAAAATTTTTATCTTGTTGTTGAAGGGAGCATGTCATTCAAGCTTTCCTCATTTTTATTATCCACATTATTTCGAACATTTTTTTTGTTTCTTGTGACCAAGGAATCGGCATAGTGCATGTCAACAGGAGATAATTTAGCGGATCCCATTAGGAAATGGAACACTCAAATCAGTTATTAGTGCCTGTTCTATTAATTTTTCTATCACATAGCCCTGTGGTTAGCACAATTTGAATACCTACTCTTTGACCGCTCTCACTTCTGTCAGAGTAAAATTGGTTGAGAAATCAAATTTGTTGAAGATTCACCACAAAATACAGTACTGGTTGATACAGTACTGGTTTCTGAAGGATTTATATCCAGGAAGCCACTCGACTCAACTCCTCTGGACATACTGTCAATTCTTGCCCAGTAACAGTGTCCAGTGAGCTTAAGCGCTACTGGGATGGAACACTTTTATTTAATATTAGAAACCTTTATTAACTTGTATACACTCAATCAAGCAGCATGAGTCACATATTCATAATGTAATATATATATGTATATATACCGGTAAAAGAGTTTGAACTGAGTTAAAATTACATCTAATTGTGTGTGTCAGTATATACTAATATTTATATTTAATGTGCTTATCTTCATTCGTATTTGCTTATTCATTTGTTTTGATGTAGACATTAACAGACTGGGGTGATAAGCGAAAGGAATCTAATGCTCGATCTTGAGCTAATACTTATGAGAGTGTACTTAATTTTGTTTTAATTTCAGGAAAAGATCTTGAAAAGGTTCTAGAGACCTACGAGAAAATACGCTGTAAGTTGCAAGTTGTTAACATTTTTATTGGTTTGAATAAAGTTAACATGAAACATTTTTGAGATGTTATGTTTTGCAAGTTAAGTGATCATCTATTTTCTATCATAATTTAAGTATTACCGTATATACATTTTTTAGTCAACTCCAATGCAGTGCAGAAGGCAAAACAAATCGAGGACAGGTCCGATGCAGCGCAGAAGTTGAAACAAATCGAGGACGGGTCCAATGTAGCGCAGAAGTTGAAACAAATGAAGGACGTGTCCAATGCAACACAGAAGGTTAAACAAATCGAGGACGTGTCCAATGCAAAGCAGAAGGTGAAACAAATCGAGTACGAGTCCAATGCAACGCAGAAGAGGAGACAAATCGAAAACGCCAGAGATCTGTAGTTGATAATTCACAGCTTCTTGATTATCATTGAATATTTCCGAATTTCAGTTTTATTTTACTCTTTCAGTCTTTCCTATATTTTAGTAGTAGCACGTGGTCTTTCGTGAGATGATAAGTATGAAATTTATTTATTCATGGTAAACACTGCACTCACGAAAACCGCAATTTTTTGTTCATGTTGGATTGCTCAAATCTTGATTATCAGCACCTTCAAATGCATATTACTTGAAGGGAAGTGTGTTACATTAACAATTAATTACAATTAAATTAACAATTTTATCAAGTTCAAATGCATAACCTTGATTTCTTTAATTTTATTTATCCCATGTTGACTGACTTTAATAATAAAATTTTATTTATGCAATACCATAATTTTTTAATTACCCAGTATAGAATGAATATTGAAATCTAATTGATATTATTTCGTAAAATTTGTTGTGGTCTATATGTATGTTTCACTGTAGTTTGTTCACACATCATGATAACGTTTCTGTTAAATTACTGTCAATAATTCATTGGCTTTAAGATAGCTAGTGTACACTGGATCGTGTAACAGTGTGTAGCAAATATGGGGTGTTACTATGGACGTCAATTTCACTTAACCCCATTTGTATTATTAGCATGTTGAATTTTATAAAACTAGGTTATTCTGGCCTGTTTCCTTAATGGTGATTTATTTGTACAAGCCTTATGCGGTGGCGCGATATGTGCTGAGAAGATTGATGAGGGTTTTCGACCTCCATTCGAGAATTGAGAATAATAGTGTTCTTCATGTACTTTGTATCAAGAATTAAGTTTGTATTTCATTATATCTGTTGTTTGGATCATTTCAATTCGATCGTACAACTTTACAATATATGTACATTTGTCATTACAATATATTGTGTCCTTATTTGAACTCGTACTAGGCTAAAATACCTTATTAGTACTGTACTGGATAAAAAACATGCGGAAGAGGGCTACTCTTCCTTGTGAGCCAAATAATAGAATCTCATTTCATGGTTTGATTACGACATCTAATCCCAAGGTAAACGGAACGGGTTATTCCTAAGGTAATTCCCCGCCTGAGTTCCCTCGGTCTATTGCTTGGAAAACTTCCAATAACGTCAGTTCCCTATACCTGCGCAGCTGCTCATTATCCAATTGCAGAAGTGAACTATAAATAAACATATTACTAAACAGCGGAACCCAATGTTCTAATATTGGCAATCTTAGTCTAATAGCCATTCTACATCGTATGGTACGAAATAACTACGCACGACAGATATTAATCAGTCAAGGTATTCCACATTTTGCGTTGACTACGGACGACAACGGGTTCCATTATCTTTGCACCCAGGAAAGTACATTTCCACCCACAGACATTTTCACCCATGGACATCTGCACCCATGTACATTTCCATCCACAGACATTTCCACCCATGTACATCTGCACCCATGTACATTTTTACCCACGGACGTTTGCACCAGGTGCATTTGTGTGGTGCAAATGTGCTACACCGGATAATCGTGCTGTGGGATGATTGTCATGCTGTTTGTTTCGGATCTCGTATGAAGCTCGTAATTCGTTTCATTCAACTTTTTTGAATGATGTATAAATTTAGCAAACAGCATGTAAATTGTTTCTAACTTGTATTTTTACTATCTTACAAACTAACTACACAGTATAAAAACGAGAACCCCGGTCGTAGACCGAAGACTTATCGATCGAAACTGCGGTTTTGATTTATGACACCGCGTGTCCCATCACTAATTAATCAATAACTCGCTATTTATACAACATAATTCATCCAAAATCAATAGGCTTCTGGTCCGAGATATGATGAATGAACATGCAAAATTTGGAGCAGATTCGACCTTCGTGAGATATCGCGTGCATCTAACAGACAAACATAAAATACCTATCAACATACTTACCGATCAAGATCGATAAGTAACAAGCAAGTAACAAACATAATTTTCACCCATGGACATTTGCACCCATGTACATTTTTACCCACGGACGTCTGCTCTATGTACATTTGTGTGGTGCAAATGTGCTACACCGGATAATCGTGCTGTGAGATGATTGTCATGCTGTTTGTTTCGGATCTCGTACGAAGCTCAAAAATAGACATATTTCTAGTTGTCACATTTTCGAATTCTCTGCATTCAGTCTGGAGCTATACTTATTATTAGAAGAATAAGCTGTTTAAATGTATTTCTGCCTTCCGTGTCCTAGAACTACTGACGCCGTGTATATCTTTAGGGTTAGGAAAGTATATACTGTATATATATATATTGACTTGTTGATGTTGGTTGGGGGACAGCTTATAGTCTGTCGATAGACGACGAGTAACAACTGCAATGCCTCGACTGCCCAATCTCCCAAGACGTTGAAAGACATCTCAACGAGTCAATCTTTTATTATCAGCTCCGACGTACCGCCACGGTGCCTTTTTGATCGCAATACGATCCAACCCAATAGGATCACCAAACAGTGAATACGGAGTAGCCTATCTTATATAGTAAATTAGCATGCACGGACATGCCCTAATCAAGTCTGTAACAAAAATAAATTATATTGAAAGTGATTCGTCATTGTGATATGACTTGCGCCTATTTAACTCAATTATGTCCAGTGAATAAAACAAGTCACGACGGTTTATAATTCTAAGAAAGTTCAAATTAACTAGTTTTACACCGATTATTATCACTAATTTGAAAAACAACAGTAAAATCTCACTAAAATAACAACGTTATCCCTATATATCTTCTTGCAAAATCAATATTATCTAGTAGGTATACCAATATTTTACATCCAACTTCAACTTTTTCTATGATGTATAAATTTGACAAACAGCATGTACATTGTTTCTAATTTATCCTATCTTACGAGTTAACTACACAAAAAAGCAAGTAACAAACATGAGTGTAAAAACGTACAAATCAGAAATATTAGTTAACAAAGCAAAAGCACTGCGTATAAAAGGAATGAATTCAGAAGAGAAAAATAAACAAAAAGCATCTCTCCACATTGGCCAAAATAAAAATAAAGGAATATTAATTAAATGGAATTATCCTCAAATGGCTATGCTGTTCTCATAGGTAAAATTGAAAATTTTTTTTTGGAATCAACTGTACAAAAATTATAGCATAACCGATAAACTATGAGTATTTCGTCTAACGTAAATGGTTATTTTTTAATATCTCTTGGTTGTCCATTGTTGCTTGTTACAATCACCTCTTTTCCGACCGTCAATACATCATCTTTTTTTACCTTATTATTGCTAAAAGTCTCGTTGGCGTCCAATTTTCTTTCTCCGCAGTAGATGGAATATTCGACACCGCCGTATTCATCCAGTAGTTTCTGAACTTTGTCTGTTAGATTCACTTGTTTTGGTTCAGTTACTTGTTTTTCATAGTTTCTAACTGTGATATAAACCCTTTGTTGCAGGACTGATGTATCTTTAAATTATTTAAAAAATAGCTTCAGAACCAGTTTTATTCATTCTTGAAATTAGTATCATATTTAGTTCTATAGCTATTCAAACCTGTTTCTATAAATACCACAAAAAGATAGTTTTAAGCCAACATTTGGCGGTCACTAAAATGTAGAATGTGATATTAACCTTCCTGCTGAGCTCCGGAAACCTTGTTCTGATATTGCGTCATATGTTGATCGGATCCAACTAGAAAAAAGTTTACATGTTCAAAAATGGAAGTGAGTTCATAAAATAATTACAATGAATTCTGATTCCCAAATAAGTTTATCATCGCATTCTCAATATTCATTGAGATGAGATAATACGACTTTATGTGTCAAAAGTGAAACAACGCGATTCAATTATGCCAATTTCGTAGTCAGTTTCAAGATTTTTGGGAAATGTTGGAAGTCATACTACCAACCAAGTATAAATAAATATAAAGTTGTTTAGTATTATACTTGTTTGGTTATTTATTTCATATCGCTCGTATAATGTTTGCGAAATAAAACATTCGCGCGACGTAGTGCGTTCAGTAAACTAGGGCTATTCCCTTCCTGATTTTTCAGCAAAATACGGAACAATAATATAAATTATGATATTGAAAATATAAAAATACACACCTTGTATTCTAGCGTTACCCCTTTCAGTTATATCTGCTGTTCCATTGTTAACATCAATGCCTTTAGCCAGTCCCTCACCGTTTGCAACTGTGCAAAATAAATTGGCGACTTTCATGTGCCTGTGTTGGGCTCATATAGAGTATTTTGCATTTACGAGTAAAATTTCTAAGTTTGAAAAGATATTGTTTTCTTCTACATCGCATCTTAATTGTTCAGAATTCAGTAAATAATAAATCTAATCGCATATTGAGTTATTCTTACCAACGGAAATAGTCGCATTGTCCTCTCGTATCATTACCAATTCGCTTTCATTACCCACTGTTATTCCAGTTGCTTCGGCTGAATTTTAAATTGAATATAACAATTAGTTATTCGAGGTGAAATAAGAAGGTTAGAATAAAATATATAGACCAACATAAAATAAAATCTTCAAAGTTGAATGGATTTCTAAGAATATACAATCTGTAAATGTATTGTAATAATCGGCATACAAATTATATTATTAATAATTTTTTTCAATGTTTCTACTGCATGTGTGACTTGTTCTCCACATTCACTCTATTCAATGTATATACTAAGCTTTCAATACACAAAACAATATTAGATTATCATATGAATAACCTGGTTCTTGATTTCTGGAAGCTCCATTTTGGCCTTGCGGTGTTTGTTCCAGATTTCGAACTAAAAAGTTAACAAGATTAAATTTAATCTTAAACAAGATTTATTTATTTGCTAGATATGTATTGCATTTGTGTTTCAATTCGAACATCTTATGTGAAAAGAGAATGAATGGCTTCAAATAGAAAAATCATTTGTAACTATTTTATGTTTCTCATTCTAAATATATGTCATTCCAACAACTTTTTCTTCAAAAAACATTTACACCTAACACAGAACTCACCTTCCATATAAGTATTGTTTTTTTCCGTTATCTCCGCTTTTCCACCACTGTCAATAATTATTCCATGTGAATCGTTGCCGCTGGTGGCACCTTTTTTATGCAATTATATAACATATTTATTTCTATTAGAGTAATCTTTATATGTACACAAGTGTCACGTCATATATATCTCAGTTTGGATTCGAGGGCAATTCAAGTTCTGGAATACCCGGGTCAGATGTGTCCACATTTATCACTACAGAATTTGCTATTTCCACTACTTTTTCGTGTATGCCGCTGGAGTGTATTGTCATAATTCTTCCAGGCTTGGGTCCTAATTTCAAAGTATTTCAACGTGTATTTTCACTAATTTTCTATGTCACAAGTTGGGATTATATAAGCCTGCGTGGTCATTCATGTCTCTTTTCTTATTATAAGTTTTGGCAATTTTCTTGAATTTATGTTCTGTGTTTTCATACCATGAAATAAAAGGAATTATTAAATTCTTTAATGTGTGTGATTATGATCATTGATATCATGGTATACAGATGAATACCAGACTAAAAAATTTTTTTTATGATATTACCAACTTCAATCCTCGAATTTCCTTCTCTTCTCCACTTTAGGTTTCCCCCATTACTCACCATTACACCAATTGTTTTTCCTTAATAAAAAGAGTAATAGTTATATAACGAGGTTACTATTCGGGTACGAGGTCAGGTTGAATTATAACAAATTCAATTAATTATGAATTTTTTGATTAAAGTTAGTTTGTCTGTTCTATATTAACTTGAAATCGTGGATTTTCAAATAAAATAATATCATCATACCAGTAAAGATAAGGAGAAACTAAAT